ACACCGGCGCTGTGTGTGGGCGACCGCGTGGATTTCACCTCGGGAGACCTCACTTGCTTCATTTCCTGCAGCGCCTCAAACTGCCTCGCCTTCTCCTTCACAGTCAGCTTGGGGCCACTGATCTTTTGGAAGAGGGGACTGCTGACATCATCACTGCTATCAGGGTTTTCAGCTCCTTCCTCCTTGGCTGTGAGTCTCTGCTGCTGCCACTGGATGGGGTCCATGATAACAGGCCTACCCGGGGACCCTGACATGTGTCTCCTGGTCAGGTGAGTGGGCACTGTCCATGCCCGGTGGCTGCCCCCAAAAGAAGCCTCTCTCCAGGCCAGTCTTGAAGGAGAAAGAATATCTAAAGTATCGTTCCTTTTCCGTAGGAACCCAGCGGCAGCAGGGCTTTGTGGGAGACCTTCCACGTACAACGGGTTTCGGGTCGTTAGCGGGTTCTCATCAGATAAAAAAGTGATGTTACTCGAGGATTTGGGGAGGTTATTGTTCAGGGATCCATTGATACTGGATTGCTTGTGAGCCTCTATAGCACGGGAAGCAAAGCTGCTTATAACTCTCTGTCGGTCTCCTTCTTCTAAGACTGACTTTTTTCCCCTGCTTTGTTGGAAATGGTAGAGAAGAAAAAGACTTGAAAGAAAAGAAGATAATCACATGTGAGGAAACATGCATGGACATAGGTACTTATGAGAGAGAAAAAAGAACTTATGACATGAATCAGAGCCATTAAATCACTTCTAGCAAACTACAACCCAACAGCATGAGCACATCTACTACTGGCAAGACATTTACTTTTGCATCTTTAAGGGGGAAGGAAGAAAAATTAAAACAAGTTGCTGCTTGTTTTAATTTGAAGCTGCATAGCTACTTGGTGAGTTAAAAAATAAATTGACTTCTTGTTAAAAAAACTCTTAGATTTCAAAATTATCAGTTAATATTGTGGCCTATCTACCTAGAAACATGAAACATCACAGAAGTATTAATATGTGAATTAATTTAATCTCTTGTGTGTATGAATGTCATCTCTTCATCATGTTGAACCCAATGAAAAGGCCCTATGGTTGGATAACATTGAATTTCTATGCCAAAAGTGGGAGATCTCAGCACTTTCTGGACTGCATGTGTCACCTCCCAGTCCCTCATTAATTTCCTTCCTCAAATATTCTTAATACCACAACCTTCTGAGTAGATTTGAAAATAAACGGTATTTTAAAATTAATAGCCCCAAATTGCCTGCTAGAAAAGTGCCCTTCAAGGCCTATTCTAAATGGTGCTCACAGCAGGCTGAAATGAGATTTATTTTTCTCTCAAACTGTGAGAAATTTAGGATTTGGGCCTGTGTCAGGCAGAGCTAAAGTACAGCATGAGTAGCAATCTCATCTACCTGCACAAATTAAAATCTCATTTAAAACTGGTTTTAGTGACTTAGAGATGCCCAGTATTTTCACACAAGTTCTGAGTTAAAAATTCTAAGCCTTGTCTCTACCAAAATTTGAATTTTGGTAAAAGAATAGGAAAAAAAAAGAAAGAGTTTTCCATGATTCCATGAATGTTGGAAGATGAAGTTTTAGACCTCTTGGTCACATTGTTCTGTGGATTTTGGTAGCGTTGTTTCATATTTCAGAAAACATATAACTAAACCCAAATTAATGAGAAATTAATCTCTGATGGTTAAATATTCCCTAGCAAAATTAGAAGGGAAATTTAAATACCTAGAAGGAGTTAATTAATAGATCTTCTTTTTCCTCTAAGTTATTTAAGATGTAAAAGTCCCCCGAAGGTTGTATTTAATAAGAAAACACTTCAGTTTCTTAAGTTTTGTTTCCTGTTTTGATCAGGGGACAACCCAGGCAGTGAACCCCCAGCTTCTCAATGTTCCAGGGAGCCAGAAGGACTGGAATTCCTGCACAGAACTGAGGGATCATTCTCCCATTTGCAAAAAACACTCTGCAAAGCTCCACAAAGTGAATAAACTCTCCCCAAGCAATGCAGTTTGCCAGAGCTGAGTGTGTCTAAGACTTCTTTTGGGCAGAATGAATAAAAAATAATTAACTTCACAGTAATTAGAGAAGGGTTTGGGTGGAAAGGACCTAAAAGATGACCTGGCTCCAATCCCCTGCCATGAGCAGGGACACCTTCCACTATCCCAGGCTGCTCCAAGCCTCTTTCAATCTGGCCTTGGACACTTCCAGGGATCCAGGGGCAGCCACAGCTTCTCTGGGCACCCTGTGCCAGGGCCTGCCCACCCTCCCAGGGAACAATTCCTTCCAAATATCCCATCAAACCATTCCCTGTGTCCTGGCACTCCAGCCCTCGTACAGAGCCTCTCTCCATCTCTCCTGTAGCTCCTTCAGGCACTGGAAGGCCACAGTTTGGTCACCCCAAAGCTTCTCCTCTCCAGGCTGAACAATCCCAGCTCTCCCAGCCTTTCCTCCCAGCAGAGCTGCTCCATCCCTCTGATCATCCTGGTGCCTCCTCTGGGCTCTCTCCAGCAGCTCCAGGTCTCTCCTGTGCTGGGCCCCTGAGCTATAAAGTAACTCAGAATTTGGAAGCAGCCAGCTTTGATGTAGTCAGCCAAGCGCTGCATCTGCAGAGGGGTGAGAGAAGCAGTGACTGAACTTGAAGGAGCCCCTCCAGCAGAAGGCTCATGCAAGGCACCACCACCTTCCTGCCACTGGAGCAGATTATTTCAAAAGCTCCTCAGCCTCTTCCTCACTCCACACGAGGCCGCTGAGAGCTGAGGTGACCCCGCTGTGTTTTTCTGTCTATGTGGAGCTCTTTCGATCACTGAGGACCAGAGAGTTCAATTTCTGTGTACTCAAAGACTCTATAGGCCTTGCATGGGATTGGAGTTAACAGCCAAGGAAGGTTTAAACCCAGCCATAAATCCATGAACTCCCAGCAAACCTCCGTTCATGCACTCAGTGTTGGTTTGGCTTTTTCTGACCTTTTGGCTTTAGAAATAATGCCCTTCAAGTTCAGCAATCACCCATCCTCTCTCTGCTTCCAAGAAGAGGGATAAAGAAGCACAGAAGTATTGGAACTTCCCAGTAAATGTCTTTCCTGCTCAATGGACAAATAAAATATGAACTTCACCTTGCAAGGTTGGATGGGAATTGCTGGAAGGAAAATTAACTAATTTCTACCAGCTACAAATATTACGACAATGAAATAAGCTTACTTACTGATGCCTAAGGATCCAAAGACAGGGAAAAAGGAAAATGGTGAGACAAGGCAGATTTAAAACTAAAGAGCTTTGTTCTGTTTCATTTGCTATAAACACCAAAGAAAGCAAACAAGACACTGCAAATTAAAGATGACAGACTTAGGACAATTAAAACGGGGAATAATACACTAAAACTAATGAAAAATGGCAATAAAAGATTTTTCCCAAATAAGAATTTTCTAAGGTATACCTGTGTGCTACAGTAAAATATTTAATGGGGAAGAAAAATTTAATTTGCAATTATATTTATTGAAGCCTGTTATTTTCTTGCAAATCCTATGGATTTTGATGTATCTTTGAAGGATTTTTGTGTTTAATCAGTTCCTCAGCGTGACGGATAAGCCTTGGTTGTATGCAAAGACATCTGAGAGAAAATATTCCGACTACAGCATCTTTTTTGGTGCAATGAAGACTATTTTTTGTCCAAATTAACATAAAGCTAAGCCTCAAAGTCAATACTACAGATTTGGGAAGTGGCACCTCTTTGGGGTAGTACTAAACCCCAAAAAGCCTTTGTAGATAAAACAAAGCACAACAAGGCTTTTTCTGGGTTTAGCATCACATAATTAATTTCAGCAGAAATTTGGTTTATCGTAAAAAATAAAGTTAATTTTATCCCTGCATAAGGGGGTACAGATGTGACTCACAAACAGAAGTGCTCCCATGCTAAAAAACTTTATTCCACACGTTTTTCCTCCCTTCCTGACCAAGCATAACTTGACAAAGACAAAAGGCAAAAATTCAGGCCTTAGGAGAAACTATTCCTGCTCCCAGCATTTTTCAGGCCTCTATTTACCCAGAAAAGCTCAAGCCCTGGAATTATTCCACAGGCAGAGACTGCAACCAGTTGTCCAGAAGTTAAAGCTCTGTCATGGCTCTGTAATATTTTATAAACTCTATCACAGCAGCTAGAAAATTTCAACTTTCTGGGCAGAACAAATCATGACTGAAAACAGGGCAATCCTCTTTTCCACCATCCACTCACTCCCTACCTGCTCCAAATATTATTCAAGCTGGGCTCTTCAGCACTCCTTGGTTTTCAGGTATAAACAGAGATGAGGAAGTGTGGTAAAGCTTATCAAACAACCCCCCCCAGTATCAGACAAATAATAATTGGCTGGAATATTTTCCTACTGAGAGTTAAATTGTTATTGGAGTCCATTAACTTCAGGTTTACAGAGGCATGAAAAGAGAAGCAGCCTTGCAAAATTATTATTTTATGAGCATGTAAGAGGTAAAAGATGCATTTATTGAGCTACCAGGGGTTTCTCTGCTTTGATAGCTCCTTTAACTTCAATATTTAAACAGGTTCAAATTTAGAACAAAAAAATCTCAATGAACCAAACTCTTCTTACTATAGGAAATGGGGACTTTGGGGCAGCAATTTTCAGAGAATTACCATTTCATTGGATGTGTTTAGTCAACAGCTTTGGAAAATGTGGAGTGCTGGCCTGAATGTTCCAAGGAGTCCAATCATGATAGCAGTGACCTGCTGTAGGATCTTGCTCTTAGGAAAACTATTTGGTGAGACCTTTTTGCCCACTAAAAGTCTGTTAAAGGTTCCCCCATACATTACAGGAAGATTAAATTGCTTTTTTTGCTCCTTCCAGAGCCAGCCTATTTCTTTTCTGGATGTTGAAGAACCCCAAGCAGCTGGAGAATGAAGAAAACCTTTTTCAAAGAGATGTCCCTGTCATGAGCAGGGATACCTCCCACTATCCCAGGTTGCCCAGGGCAGTGATTTTCTGGATGGATGTCAAGGAATACTCACATGGTGCTGTCTCCAAGCTCCTCATAGAGGTTGTTGGCCGCTGCTCCAGCCGGTTTTCCTGCTGGCAGAGCCATCTGGATCCTTGCAGTCTTGGCACACTCAGCCTGTCGCCTGTGGAGAGCCACAGGGGGAAGGAGAAATACTCATCAGGAATGCCCCAAAACACGCCCCCAGAGAAAGCCAAAGTGTGAGGTTTTCTATGTTCTTGCCCTGCAGTTAATCCCTGGATTTTGTCTTCATCAAAGAAGTAGCATGATCATCTTCTGGATTTTTCAGCTCCTGGGTGTTCTGTCTTGGTGGAATCCCAGAGATTCCCCACATCCCAGAATGGGTTGGAAAGGACCTTAAAGCCCATCCAGTGTCACCCCTGCCATGGGCAGGGACACCTTCCACTATCCCAGGCTGCTCCAAGCCCCAGTGTCCAACCTGGCCTTGGATACTTCCAGGGATCCAGGGGCAGCCACAGCTTCTCTGGGCACCCTGTGCCAGGGCCTGCCCACCCTCCCAGGGAGGAATTTCTTCCCAATATCCCATTTGAAACTACATCTTTCTGTTTTGCCACTCCCCCTTGTCCACTCACAGCTCGTTTTTCTTAATGGAATTGGCTGGGGAAATTTCAGTTCAATTAATGTTTGGGGTTTTTTTGTTGGGTTTTTTTTTGTGCTTTTTTTTAGAATAAATTTCTGTTCTCTGTCTAGAAAATAAAGCTCCTCACGTGGGGAGCACAGCCAGGATCATGTGGCTGATACAACCCAGTGACACTGGGTAGCGATAAAAATTTAAACTCATCACACCAGGAGTTCAGGAGCAAGTTGAGTTTAAGAATTTTTAAAAAAAACCTTTATATTTAATACATTTTGAGAACAAGATATGTCAGTATTCCTGGGGAAGCTGGAAGAAACAAAGCTGGAAATAAATACTTACTCTTTGAATCTGTTTGGTTGCAAAAAAAAGAGATAAAAAGGAAGGTTAAATAAATTCTACTTCCAACAACTGCCCATAACAGTAACTCTAACAGGAGTAATAAACTACAGGCTACTTAATTATTCCACACATCAAATTCCAGAATTAATGACTTGTTTAAAGAATCAGAACTTCCAGAGCTGAACAGCATTTGGCTGCATTTTTGATCCCCTGGAAACAATTCTGTAGTCAGCAGAAATACGAATTACAGCAGGGAATGAAAACAAGACATGAAAACATGAATATTTCTCCTGTTTTTTCTTAAGCAGGCACATATTTAGACTTGTTTTTTTATATTTAATTATTTTTATATAACAATATAAATAATATAGTTGTTATTTTATTAATATTTTCCCCTTTTAGCATATTTCAAAGATGTATATAAAATACTTTTAATAATGAAGGAGCATTATTTTTGGTTATTATTTAGAAGATGCCATTCTTTTGTGATTAATAAATAATTTATAAGTACCTTACAGGTTTGTGCTAGATACTGGATTTCAAAGGATACTGGATTTCATTTTTAGATTTATTACTAAAGAAATATTATAGGAAAAATACCAAGATTCCTTTGGAAAAGGAGTGAAAAAGGCTGGAATGCAAAAACAAACCATGAGGCTCAGGATTTTAATTTAACTCTAAAATTCCTTTCATTTTCTTTGGCACTCTCCATAAAAATACAATTTATTCACTATGGGCTGCTATAAATCCCACTCCAAGTCAGATTTCTAGATGGGAAAAATGGGATTTTTGGATGAAATTAATTTAAGCAGATTTCTGAGAGCTCCTAAAAGAGATTGATGATGTTTGGATAATCTAACAGATGTGAAGGAAAAATGAGGCTGCTTCATTTTTTTCAGGAACCTGCAATTCAGATAACAGCTACCAACGAACTGCAAGATGAACTAGCTCATGGAAGCAAATTTTCCAAAAGAATTTGAAAGAGGAAGAGCAGTTTGGGAATGATCTGCTATCCCAATGGTGCAGAAGTTGGTCAAGCTCTTTCAAACTTCTTTAAAAGGCTTTTTCTCTTCACCCAGAATAGAGAAAAGGGTATGTGAATATAATCACTAATTAAAGAATAAATCAGTGAATAAATGAATTTATAAATCTATGAACTGGAATATAATTCACATGTACATTTATGAATATAATATTTACTTAGAGAACAAATGTATGAACATATATATATCTGTATCTAAATAAATAAGTGAATAGGTATGGAGCCTTTAAATCCAAATGCAGCAGTTTTAAATATGAGTAGACCTGAAAATTTTAGTTGAGAGGAACGTATTGCAGATGTTGATTTGAATTAATTTATCAGCCAATTACTGGAATCTCTTCAGCATATAAGAGGCAAGAGGAAATATCAAAAATTATCTCTGATGTTGCCTTAAAATAGCAGAAAACGAACTCTCCAGGAAACATTTGTAATTAATTGCAAATTAATTCTTAAGAAGCTCAGGAAAAATATTTTAGGATTTAAGCAAAAACATTGGAATCCTCTAATTTGATTTTTGATTCATTTCTTGAAAAAGCACTTTCTTGCTCAATTTTTTTCTTTTTGCATGGAATTCAGCTCTGAATCCTCACTTCTGTGTCCGACACCTGAGTTTTGAGCCGGTGTTTTGGCACAAAAATCCTGCACCATGTTAGAAAGCCCAGGATGCACTTCCCGTGTTCTTCACACCAGGCACTGAGCAGCCCTTGTGGTGAAAAGGGGGTTACACCCAGAAATTAACTTACATAATAGAAATACAGATAATACATAACAAACATTTTAGAAATAGGCAACAATAAATAGAAATTAATCTCGTGACGATGAATGACAGCTGAAGCAGCTCTGCTCCAAAATGCAGCAGCTCTATGACAAGCCCTGGGAGGGGAGGGGAGGAGGAGGAGGAGGAGGAGGAGGAGGAGGAGGGTACTCACTGCCGGTAGCTGACCATGACGATGAGGATGGCTGGCATGCAGCACAGGATGATGATGACAGCCAGGGCTAGCAGGGCCCCCTCCGTGTAGCCCACGGCCTGCGCCTGCTTCTTCACGTTGGCCACCACGTCCGGCGTGCGGATCTCCAGGATTCGCCCGCCCTGGCCCAGGTAGGGCTGGAACTCCTTGTTGATATCCAGCAGTTTGCCATCCAGGAACCTTCAACGGCACAAAACCACCCCACTATTAGGGCCAAGTTCATGAAGAGAGTTGTAATTATGGCAGGTTAATAGTCCAATAAAGAGCATACGTCATCTCTGGAATAGTGGCAATTCCCTGTAGTCCCGGTGCCAGGGACAATTCCAATGTACCTAACACCAGCACACAGTTTAAAGACTGAAAAGGAGGGCTGAGCTGTGCTTATCCTGATTTCCAGTGGCATAAAGTTCTTGCTGGCATCACAAAGGCCTTACTTTGTGCTTTTCCTTCTCTGCTTTGATCTCAAGGATCAACCAACCTTTCCTGGACACATCCCTAAGGACCAGGCAGTGGTGGAATCACCACCCCGGAAGTCTTCAAAAAACCTGTGGATGTAGCACCTGGGGACATGGGGCAGTGGTGGCCTTGGCAGTGTTGGGGAATGTTGGATTCCATGACCTCAGATGTCTTTTCCACCCTTAATGATTCCATGGCTGCTGTTACCCTAAAATGAGGCAATTTTAAGAGGATTTGCTCAGCTCCTTAGGGAAATTCTTCAGCTGGCTGGACAAAAAATATATTGTCCAAGGCTTTAAATTCAGAAGGAAAACAAAAATCCTTGGATCACTCTAGAAGTGAGGACTGAGTGTCTCACAAGCTGCCTAGCTCTAAAGACCAAAGTAAGAAGTGTATTAGGATGGAAGATCCTAAAATATGGGAGCTATAGCAGAATTCCAGAACCTTACATGTACAGCGGTTCTCCTGGAGAAAGACAAGGGGAAAAAAACCTCCAGAAAACTTCAAATAAAAAAACAACAAAAAACTTTCATGTGTATTTTTGTGTATAAACTCTGAATGTCTAAGGAAAGACTGAGATAGCTTTGATTTCCTTACTCTGATCACGAGACAGAAATTCCACTCCTCAAAGATCATTTCTTCAAGGGCGGTCATTTCTTACAATTGACTTCCCCTCAGATTAATTTCCTGATAAATCCTCGTAGCATTTCTTGTCCCTGTTTTTATATTTCAGAATTTTGGGGAGAGTCCACTCTGCTCTGAGTGTGTAATGGATGAACTGAATCTTGTCACAAGCAGAACAGCTCATCCTGAATGATGAATTTGGGTTGGTTTCATGATACTGAGGGCAAAGAGGATGCTCACTCTCACCCTCACAAAGGTGTCTGGAAGAATAATTCCCATTCCTAAGGTCTTCCACAAACCATTTCCTTGGTACTTGAGAAAAAATCCCTTTTCCAACCTAAATGATGGCATAAAGTGGATACAAACGTTTTCTTGCTGCCCACTAGATGTCACTGGTGCATGTCCCACGTCCTTTGAGCTGGCATAAGCTTTCCCAGCAGGACGGCATTAAGTCCCTGGATGATTTTAACCATCTCTCTGTTGAAATTCTGCTGGCATTTTCCCGACAGAGCCTTTTTAAAAGGTTCGTAACTCAGCCGTGAGCGTTTACTCTGTGATGGAACCTGACACGTTGTGCAGGAGCTTCACACAGTTTCTTTTTAACAGGGGACATTTTCCACTTAATTTATGCAGGAGGAATTTGCTGGATTCAACTGGTTTTTATGCTCCAGTAAATCAAAGCCTCTTCCCTTTAAAAGATAGGAAAGGAGGCTGAACGTTTCAGTCTGGGAAATTATCTGAGTGGCTTCAGAGTCTTTTAGGGGTTTGTGTAAGAGGGAGGACATAGTGAAGTACAGGTACTATTCAGACCCATTTTTGGGTCCAAATAGATTTGGAGCAAAAATCAGAGGAGGAGTGGCTGATGGAGCTGGGAAAGGGGCTCAGCCTGGAGAAAAGGAGGCTCAGGGGGAACCTTCTGGCTCTGCACAACTCCCTGACAGGAGGGGACAGCCAGGGGGGGTCGGGCTCTGCTGCCAGGGAACAGGGACAGGACAAGGGGAAACGGCCTCAAGCTGTGCCAGGGGAGGCTCAGGTTGGAGAGCAGGAGGAATTTCTCCATGGAAAGGGTGCTCAGGCCTTGTGAGGGGCTGCCCAGGGAGGTTTGGAGTGCCCATCCCTGGAGGTCTTCCATAAATGTGTGGATGTGAGGACCTGGTTTAGTGGTGGGCTTGGAAGTGCTGGGTTAAAGGTTGGACCTGATGAGCTCAGAGGTTCTTTCCAACCTAAATGACTCTGTTTTATGAGATCCATGATTAATAAAAACTTCAGGTAAGCAATCATAACAGTGTGAAGGAAAAAGATGGATCTTTCGTTGTGTATCAGTTTTACTAAGTACAGGACAGAGAAAATTCCACATATTTTGAGGAACACATGGGTTTTACCCCCCGAACTGGCTGCTACATGATTTCTAAATCATGCCTTTGTTTTCCAGCCAAACATTTTCCTGGAATTATTGTGGGATTAGTATTGTGGATTACAGGAGCCACATGCTTTGGTTCAGTAAGGTTTGCTTCTCATGGTGACAACTGTGACTGTTCAGGTGCTGCTTGGTGAGCTGCTGTGTCAGCACCCTCTTCTCCCAGCTCCAGCTGCTTTGGGTTTGGATCCCTGACTCCTGCCTGTATCCCTGCAGTTCTCCACCTGCTCTTCCACTTCATACTCAATTCCCCTCACATTTGACCTTCAAAAATAACTGTTTTCAAACAGTGACAGGTTCACAAGAAATTCTGTTAAATCAAAGCCTCCACTCTGATTTAGAAGGAGAAACACAGCAGGTGCTCCCAGAAAAGCCCATTCTGGAAAAGCCACAGGTATCTTCCATCATTTGGTGAGCTGTGTAAACATTCCAGCTGGCAGAAGTCACTAAATCTGTGCTGTTGGTCCTGGATACATCATGGAGTTGTCGAACACTTGGAAAATCACCTGTGGGAATTTATCTTCCTTATTGGTAATTAAATGTTCTAAACAGCATGTTCTGTTTCTTTTGGACTTATTCACCTTTCTCCCATCATATCCAGTTTATGAAATGATCCTTTCTCCCACTGATCCCTTTTCTGCCAGATCCAGAGCAGATTCTTGGCTAACAGAAGGGTGGTTGGGATTTGTGGCTTCCCAGTGAGGGGACAGCCACTGCTAAAGTGTCCTCTGACCATGGTGGGAAGAACCCTGAGCAATCCCTCTGAAATCAAACTCCCAAGAGGGACCTTTATCTTTTTAGGAGATTAAAATCTTTATAGATTTGGGTACGTCCCTGGCCCAAATTTCCCACCTTCCAGTGAAAACGTGGGAACTCCAGCTGCCTGTCTCCTTACTCCAGTGAGCTGACAGTTGCTCACCTCTACCCTAACGCCAGGGGAGCATTCCCTGGGATTTTGCTGATTTAAATATTTAAAGGCTTTTGAAGACAAGAAAAAAAAACACTCTAAAAAGCTGAGTGTGCATGCACAGGGAGCATTTTAATGAAGCTGTTTCTCAGATGAATCCCCCTTCCCTTCCTGTTGGAAAATCTGATTTTTAACCCATCTTAACTCTGTTCTGCTCTGGGTACTTCACTGGACATCTGAACATCCCTGAAAAGGCATTCCAATATTTTCAAAGAGTGCCATAACAAAGAAGGAGATTTTTTTTTCTTACCACGAAGAGAGTCTGCAAAGGTAAAAGTTTATTTTTCATTCAAAGAAAGTAGAAGTTTATTTTGAATTCAAAGAGCCAACTGCCTCCCTGTTATGATAACAGCTGATTTTCATATCCTGATAGTAGTGGATTTACTGAGAGTATTCCAAAGGGAGGAGGAAAAGTGTGTCCAAGTCTTGAATAAAACTGGGAAAAGATCACAATGAATCCATTCTGGGAATGATCGATAATGGGCGAGTGACCACAAACACCAAGAGCATCACTGAGACCTGAAAAGACTAAATGACCATGGGGATACCTACAAACAAATGCCAGGAGAAGGAAGGAGGCTCTATTGCCACTCCTCTGAAAGCTGTTTTTGCTATTAATGATATTTCATATAAATTATAATTTTTAAAATTATATATATAATTTTTATAGATTCAGATTTTTTATATTCCTAGCTCAGAAAAATGATGCTGGAAGACTGGAGTGGGTTCAGAGAAAACTTTACATGATTAAAAGAATTAAAACATAGCCCAGAGCAGAACTTCTGAAGAAAAAAAATACAGAGGATGATGTGAACATGAGCCTAGACCCCGATGGGACCCAGAAATTAAAAGCACCAATAGATGCTTTAATTTAGGACCCAAAGTTATAATAAAACTGAGCCTGGAAAACTAAAATTAAAAAAAAAAAAGACAAAAGGTCTAATTTTTGTCAGGGAATTAACCTGCAATAACAACCCCCAGGTCGTAGCTGATTGGATTTTCTGGTGCATTGCTTTGCTGACAGATATGTTCCAAGCAGAATTAATTTGGAGAGTTCCCAAACTTGCTCAGAATGATCCCAGTGATCTTTCCTAGCCTATAAAATCTGAGTATCTGCAGAACTTTTTTATGCTGTGGTTCACCTACAGTTCACAAGAAGCTTGGGAGAAGAAGCCCTTTTCCAAGACCATTTCCCTGCTGTAGTTTGCAGCCTTTTCCTGCCTCGTTGCTGTTGATGTGCTCAGCACAGGAAGAGCCTGGTGGGGTTCTCACCAAGAGAAAAACCAACACCAAGGTGGAAGACGTGCCAAAAAAAACCCCCAAAACCAAAAAACCCAACCAAAAAAGGTTTTTTTTTCCTCTAGAAGAAGAATCTGATTTGCATTTTCAAGAGCCTGATCTCCTGTGTGGAAGTGTGCACTGGGTCATGTCCCAGTCTGTTTTACATGAGGTGCAAACCACCTCTGCTCCTTCCCTTCCCTTCCCTTCCCTTCCCTTCCCTTCCCTAAAAAAAGAAGAACTGACTCATTCTCCAAACAAAAACTGTGGGGACCTTGAAGGTCAACATTGCAGCAAAGCCTGAAGATCACTCAGGACTTTGGGTACATAAGAAGGAAGTTCTTTGGAGGAATTTCAGTTGGAAGCTCCTACACAGGGTGGAGAAAACCTATTACAAGCTGTCTTGGTGACAATATCTGAATCATGTGGATTGGGACAATTTAGCCCAAGGCACTGGACTGAACTAGGAAGCAGCAAATTCCCAAAGTATCCATAGGGGATATCCATGCAGCAGCTGTTTCAATGGATTTTTCTGTTCCCGTTATGCTGAATCAGTTCCTAACAGATCAACAGATCCCAAACAATCCATGGAAATAGAGGGAGCTCAACAAAACAAAGACTCACTTAAAAAGTTCGTTCCTCATGATGGCTCTGTTGGTTTGTGGGTCGATGGCGTAGACCATGAGGTCAGACTTGGTGTAATCCTCCTCAGAATATCCATCCCCAAACCTCCGTGCTCCGATGGATTCCACCACGACCGTAGCTCCTGGAATCTGGTCTTGGACGTAGCGTTCCAAAATCCTAAAGAGAAGATGAAGCTGGAAAGCTGCAGTGATTGATTTGTGCTGCTCACCACTGACCCCAGCCCAAATGAGGAACTGATAGGCAAAACTCATAGGATGAGAAGGGTTTCGACCTTCAGAACATTTTAAAAAAGGAATTGCTGCTCCACACAACCTCTGAAATGCTGAACTCCTGAGAAAAGCTCAGCAGTGCTCAGAGAGGCCTTCAGAAATTGTGTCCTTAAGTCGAGCTCTTTGTATTTATGACCCCAGTCGAGTTTTAAATGGCTCATGGGAATCGCCACCTATATTTCACACAAAATCCTCCTGTCGGCCCTTTATTAAGTTATATTATGCCAGTACTTCCATTCCAGCCTTCCACAGGGTACATTCCATAAATTTTCACCCAGAGGAACAACCACTTGAATGATTTTTGGTGGGATATTTCATCTGGCCCTCCAATATCACACAACATTCCAGGGGCTGCAACACCTGCTGCTCCAAAAGGCACCAGGTTTTCCAGGCAGAAGGAAATTGGAATATTGGACTGACACTTTTACCACAGGAAATAAAATCAAATAAACTGCAGCAGGATTCCACAAGCAGGGGAAAGAAAGGCTGATAGAATTTAGAGATAACAACATTATCAACGAAAACAACAACAACCAGGCTTGCTAAAGATTGATAAGGTTTCCAACATGGGACCAAGAAAGGTTTACTCAAAGTCCACAGAATGTTTTATAAACAAAGGCATAAATGCAAATATCATCAACTATGCACAAAAAAAAAAAAAAAGGAGAAATAAACCAGAGCATTTGGAAGCGTAAAAGTTCCATCTAAACTTATAAGAAAATATAGAATTTCCTGGGCTAATTGGTACAATCAGAAAATCAAAAAGCAATAGCTGAGCTGGGAGGCAAAAGCAAGGGAACTACAGGGGATGTATGGTCTGATCCATCAAGGATGCACCAGAGTGTGGAGGAAGACACACTTCTCTAAAAAAAAAGGACATCAGTGACGTTAAGGTGTCACTTGTTTAACACAAAACCTTCTGCAGTTTCTGAGGTTACATTCTTGCTGTTACGTTTTTTCCTGACACAAGATTTCCACCTTATTCTTCAAGACTCCTGATTCACATTTATCCAAGGAACATCTCGTCTCTTTGTGTGGAAATTTAGTGTGCCCTTAAAACCACTTGTAAGCTTTTAAGCTTTTCTATAAGACCTTGAAAAATTCAAGTATGTCAGAGCCAGGTCATACCTGAAGAGTGAATATATGGAATTACTGCAGAGAAAATAGGGATACAGATTGGCTGACACGGTGCTTGTGGAGTGGTGCCCTCTGAACAAGCTCTCCTGTTGTTTGCAGATATGGAAAACTCTACTTATCTCTGCTTCTGGCATGCTCTGCACTGGCAGCCAAGGTGAGAACCTGTCACAGACACCTCAGCAACAATAATTTCCCCAGGGAAAGTCTGACAGGACCAATCTGGGATATGGAGATTATTATAAAACCCCACCAAACCTGATGGGAGTGTAAATGGCTGAAAAGAAACGACAACCATTCTTAGAAGAGTGTTCAACACAAGGTGTCAGGCAGAGCAAATATGTAAAGGACTTGCCTCCATAATTAGCATTTAATCATCTCTTGCTGCAGGAGATGCTTTTCATGGAATCACCGTGTCTCAGAATTCACCCTGTTCCCAATGCCCACCTTGTCCCCAGCCCAGAGCACTGAGTGCCATGTCCAGCCCTTCCTTGGACACCTCCAGGGATGGGGACTCCAAACCTCCCTGGGCAGCCCCTCACAAGGCCTGAGCACCCTTTCCATGCAGAAATTCCTCCTGCTCTCCAACCTGAGCCTTCCCTGGTAGAGCTGGAGGCCAATTCCCCTTGTCCTTTTCTGTTTCCTTGTACAGAACTCTTATTATGCCCAAGACAGAACTGCTCCATCAGGTTGGAAGGTTATAATGTAGGGTCACTTCTGACAGAATCAGTAACAACATTCCCTATCCTCAGAAAGTCTTGGCATCCTGATGGAATTCATTGTCTTTGAGAATATCTTTGTCTAAAACATTGTTTAAAGTGAAGAACAAACAGAACGTTTGGACAAGTGATGGAGGGACAGGACACAGGGAATGGCTTCCCACTGCCAGAGGGCAGGGATAGGTGGGATATTGGGAAGGAATTGTTCCCTGGGAGAGTGGGTAGGCCCTGGCACAGGGTGCCCAGGGAAGCTGTGGCTGCCCCTGGATCCCTGGAAGTGTCCAAGGCCAGGCTGGACAGGGCTTGGAGTAACCTGGGAGAGTGGAAGTTGTCCCTGCCCATTGCAGGGGGTGGCATTGGATGGGCTTTAAGGTCCCTTCCAACCCTAATCACTCAGGAACTCTGTGATATCACTTCCTGAGAAATAAGTACATTGCAGCCATTGGCTATACTGATATTGTGGGAAACCCCACAAAGTCCAGCAGAATGGCAGCAGTGTTCAATTTGAAACACACAAATTCCATGTTTAGGTTAAAACAGAGAATAAAATCACACTGAAGACTGAAGAGCTGCAATTAAAGAATTCACTTAAAAATAGGGCAGTTCCCTGTAGAATTGTTTGAAAAATCCTTCAGCTGAACTTGTGATGCTAAAAACACTAGTGTTTTAGAACTCCCCTGGAAACGGCGATTTGCTTTTAGTGGTACTCACAAAAGCCACATTTTTTTTAGATTCCTACTTTTAAGTAACAACAGAATCTGCAGTTCTGCTGTATTTATCAGCAGAATCAAATTAATCTTGTTAATCCCACGGGGGTCATTCCCATCCTCCCAAGGGGTATATAAGAAGTGGAAGCAGGAGCAGAACAGGTGATGAGCCTTTCCAACTGCTCCAAGTCCACTGCAGCTGCTCAGTAATGAGGGAAATGCTTCCCAGTGCTTCCCCATTAGCACAGCTCTCCCAATTCCCAGCAGTGACACTGCACAAGTAGAGTTGCTCTGTCATTGAGGGATCCTGAGGCCCAAAGTTCCCTGAAAATCCTGAGGTCTTTAGATGCAAAATAAATGGAAAGGCAAAACAGTACCAGGGTGTTGGTCTGCAGAGCTGTCCCTTGGCTGGGGAATTCTGCTCCATGAAGTCCCAGAATGGTCTGGATTGAAAGGGACTTTAAAGTTCATTCAGCGTCACCCGTGCCATCGGCAAGGACAACTTCCATTAGCCCAGATTGTTCCAAGTCCTGTCCTGCCTGGCCTTGGACACTTGCAGGGATCCAGGGACAGCCACAGCTGCTCTGGGAAACCTGTGCCAGGGCTTGCCCCCCCTCCCAGGGAACAATTCCTTCCCAAGAACCCATCTAGCTCTGCCCTCTGGCAGTGGGAAGCCATTCCCCATTGTCCTGTCACTTCCCACTTGAGTGAAAATCCCATCTCCAGCCTCTTGCACATTCCCTGTAGGTACTGGAAAGGGGCTTTCAGAACATTCCTGAACTGGCATTTCCTAGAACATCCCTGAAAGCAGCAGATAAAAGCCCAAAATCTGGGACAAGGCACCACATTCCCAGCCTGCTCTCAGTGCCATGTCCATGTGTTTATATCCACACCTGAGGCTGCTGTATCCCCTTCTAGGCAGACAAGACCCTGGAGAACACAGGATTGAATTAAGGGATTCACCCTGGCATCACAGCAGGAAGCTATTTAGGAATTTAACAACCTACTGTGCTTTTAGAGCACATAAAATACTTTAAGATATGGAAAAAAAAAAAAGCCCCAAATACTCTTTCTTTCAGGACTCAAATTATCAAAGACTTTCAGTGAGCACTTTTGAAGATTCAATATCCTGCATAACTTTTGGCCAAAATTCAGTTCCCAAAAATAACCTGGTGCAATAATAATGAAAATTTTTTATTCTAGGTATTTGAAAATACATATTTGGCAACCATGCAGAGTGGAGAGCGTCCAGCCCCCACCATCAGCATCAATACAGACTTTTCAAGTGCTGTAATTAACTCCTCAATTCTGCTCCACTTCAGCCAAAGTCTGGCCGTGTGGAGTCTTGGTGAGATTAATAATTGACAATGAAACCACTGGATTTTCAACTGGACTTTTCCAAAGAGATAAGGACCAATCTCAGCCCCTCTGGTGCAGTCAGTGATAGATTTGGGGGGATACACTGGAGCCCCAGCTCCCAGATTCCTTATTACAACATAAATAGAGCTCAGGGAAGGGTCTGCTCATCCCATGGTGCCTAGGGTTTATTCCAAGCCTAAAAACATCTCTTTTTTATAAAACAGCCTTTCACAAAGATGATTTATCTGTTGCACACATGTCCAGACAGAAGGAGCAACACTGAGACAATTCCCTCTGCATAGAATTACATATATAATATTTAATAATATTTCATAATTAATAATATTTAGAAAACAGCACACAGCTAATGCCTTTATACCCACTTATCCTAATCCTATAAAATCAGAGTCAGGAATCATTAAGGCTGGAAATGGCCTTTAAGATTCAAGTCCTACTGTCACCCCAGCACCACCACAAGCAGATTGGTTTGCACACCAGAAAGGAAATTTGCTTTCTTACACACTGCTGAAGTTGCTTTCCTTCTCTTTGTGCTCATCCTGTAAAATCCTGCCCTCCAAAACCCCTACACACACTCCAACTTTTTATTTCAGCCTCATTTGTCCCAATCACAGAAGGAACATTGCGCTCATTCAAAGAATAATACCCAGGGACATCTCCCCTCTGACCCTGAGGACAATCTCCAGATCTCAGCACAAAAGGGCTTTTCCTGCAATTGTCAGCAATTCCTGGGGAAAGCAGGAGTTTACAGCTTTATCCACTGCCTTAGTGAGCTTTGGAGAGATCCATTACCACAATAACACGGGGAGTTACAGAGAGCAGGAGCTCACTGAACCAGGGCTTCCCAGCTGCCAGAGCGAGCAGCAAGTGGAAAAGCTGGGGTTGTAGAATCTTAGGTCTCTATTACCCAACTTAATAAAGGTGGCCTGCAGTTATTAATCATCCTGATTGCTCAGGAGGGAGGATGGAACAGGCTCTGTGAACAATGCAGCAAGCCCTGGGACACTCTCCCAGCAAACCCAGACTGGCTGGACATGAAACAGGAGACAGCCAGCTATTGGCAAATGTCCCCCTAATCTATTTATTTCATCAGATTTGATCTATTTAATCCAATTCAATAAATTCTGTTATTATCTAATCTATTCCTTTTCTAAATTTGCAATTTAATTTGGAATGAAACATTACAGTGTGAACAAGTGACAGAGAAAAAGGGGAGGGGAGGTAGAGTGGAGGGACAGGAGCAAAGTGACCCCAAAATGTTCCTGTCAGAGAGGTAAAGGGTAAAGGACGAAGCAGCTAGAGCTGGACCTGTGTCTCAGGAATATTTCATAAAGGGCAGGAAACCAAGAGGCACCTGTGGAGAGGGCCAAGGGCAAGGTCACTGCCACCACCCCAAAAGGCAAACAGTCCAATCAGCTGTAATTAGACTTAATTTAGTAATTATCTGGCAAAAATCATAAAGTGAGCACCAGAACGTGACTTCTCCTGGGGAAAAAGGAACAGACTGAGTGGTTTATACCCTGTAGCTGAGATGTGCTCATTTTTTACCAATTCAGGAATGAGGAGAAGAAAAAACACAACTGCAGGGAAATCATCCACGTCTAAAACACTTCCCTGAAGAGAGAACTGTGTGTTCCAGCTCCCAGATATAAAATTTATTGTCTCATATACTATTATTAGACATAAAATCTTATATGATGCACAATGTACATGTGCTGTATATTATAATTTACAGCAGTATTTACTGCTGTAGTATTTTATAACATCTCTTTTAAGTGCAGCACAGTTTCTGTGCATTAAGTAGAGTTCCTTTGAAGAATGATGGCAGTCAGTTCTAGATATGCAAACCATTAGGTTGGAAGGTTCAGTATTCATATTCCAAAATACTCCCTCAGCAATAACTCCAAGAATCAGTGCTTGATTCTACATTTGGATTTTCAAGGAAAAGCCTGCCTGGCCACTCCTGCATTGTGTTAGAGGGTTCAGCATGGCTCTTCCTTACCTGGGGAATTGCCTCATTCTTTTCAGAGCATAAAACTGAGAAAAGCGTGACTGAAGTGAGGGGAGAGACCCTGGAGAGCTGCACAAGGAAGACCTGGGGATCCTGATATCCCAGGGGCAGCAGGAAGAGCATTGGCAGCAGGTCAGGGAGGGATCCTGCCCCTGTGGCCAGCCCTGCAGGCACCTCTGGAGTGCTGTGTCCAGCTCTGGATCCCCAGCACAGCAGGGCCAGGGAGCTCCTGGAGCGGGGCCAGCGGAGGCTGCGGCGCTGAGGAAGTTCTCTTCCCTGTAGGATGGGAGAAGCTCAGGTCTCTCTTGGCAGTGTGGCTTTAAGTGTTTAAATGCTGAAGTGTTGGCAGAGCTTTAAGTGGCCGCCACGTGAAAATCAAAGAATTAAATGCTCTGAGAACCACTTCGGCTGTTTTATTCCAGTTGAATTTCAGGAGTGGGATGCCTCTTGGTCGCTTCCAGTAGAGGATATACTGTGATTCCATGAAATGCTGCTCCTTACCCAACAAACCAGCACTCCCTGAAACTTCCATATTTCAAGAACACTCTGGAGTCTGTCTCCACCAAGTTTTCTGAAGGAGAGGAGCACACACTGAATTTTCCATGAAGCCTCACCCTATTTTCTTTGTTCCTTCTGCAGCAGACAAAAAGCAGTCTCTCTGCACGGCCATAATTAGAGTGGACAGGAGAAATGGCAAATGGGACATTGATGTGCAGCCCAGAGAATATGAAAAGCTTGATGAAATTAAAGCAGTTGAAGGAAAACACTGAATGACTGCAAAAGATCCTATTGGAAGTGTCAGGGAAGACCAGTCTATTGTATCCCTCAAAAAACTCTTAAGCCAAATAGTGACACTTTAAATCTTCTCTCCCCTGCTTTGTTCCCTTTATGTGGACCATTAACTCCCACCCATCTCTGGCTGTGCTGAGTGTGGAAAAACTGAATTACATAATTCTTAATACCTTATAACTCCTCATGAAAATGACAGAACCTGGTATAACTTCTCCTCCAAAGTTGTTTAAACCACTATTTATTTTATGGTGAAAAATCACTGTAATTCCACAATGACCCACGTACCTCCTTCCCTAACATTCTCCCTCACGAGCTGTTGGCTAAATGTTCTATTTTCAAGGATTAATATTTGCCAAAATGAGAGGAGAAAAAGCTGCGTAATCTGTGTAGTGACTAATTTCATTCACAGAATACAGAATGGTTTGTGTTGGGATGGGATCTTAAGGATCATCTTGTTCCAACTCCCTGCCACAGACAGGGACACCTCCCACTAGACAGGGTCGATGATAGTCTTTTTATCTGTTAATTAATTACACATTAAGTTTTTATAAATTACTGCATTATTTGAAGTGGCAAAACTACTTCGGTCTGAGATGCCAAATAATTTGGTTTCCCTTTCCCTGTGGTTGTACAGGGAAGAATGTACAAAACATCACAAATTCTTATTTTGTTTCTATGGGCTGCATAAATTATTAAACATGTATAAAACCAGGGAAAGGGTGATCTTTTAAATTTAGCAGGAATACATGAGAAATTTGAAGAGAGCAGTGCAATAAATAGATTTCACTGTGAAATAGACCTTTGTACACAGCTACAAAATTATTTTTGAGATATTTGCTCTCTGCAAATATTTTCAGGAATGCATGGGCCAATTTGAAAATAAGTTGATGTAATTCTTCTGGCAAAAACTGTCCTTAAAAACTTATTCTTAGAAGAGAATTCTCCAGCTACACTGATCTGCCCGTGGTGTTTGTGAAGGTAAAGACTTCCCAAGCTGATCTGGAGAACTCAAAACCTGATAATATTGTGGCGTTTTTTAAACTGTGTGCTCCTTCCAAGGCTTTGTTCACTATGAAATACAGAATCACAGAATGGTTTGGGTTAGAACTGACCTCCAAGGTCACCAAGTCCAACCATCAACCACCACCACCCTGTTCACCACTAACCCATGTCCTCATGTGCCAATTCCACATGAACACTTCCAGGCATGAGGACTCAACACTTGCCTGGAAAGCCCCTTCCAGTGCTGAAACCACCCTTTCCATGAAGAAATTCTCCCCAAAATCTAAAGAAAACTTCCCCTGGTACAGCCTGAGGCCGTTTCCTCTCCTTCAGTCACTGGTTACCTGAGAAAAGAGCTTGATCCCACCTCAGTAGAGCTTCCTTTTAGAAAGTTATTCCTATTTCTAGGCACTACCATTTTTTAGGATGTTATTCCTGGTTCTAGGCAATCCCTCCTTTCAGGAAGTTATTCCTATTGCTAGGCAATTCATCTTTTCAGGAAGTTATTTCTAGGCAATCCTTCCTTTCAGGAAGGTATTCCTGCTTCTAGGCAATACTTCCTTTTAGGAAATTATTCCCATTTATAGGCAATATCTCCCTTCAGGAAGTTATTCTTGATTCTAGGCAACCCCTCCTTTCAGGAAGTTATTCCTGGTTCCCAGAAGAGCAGTCCCTGTGAGTTCAGGCCATTGCCTGAACAACTCCATTGGTGGTTCTGATGTTTGAATCTCTCTGAGCCAGCACACACTTGGCCCAAAACAGAGGGAGAGAAAGGGAACATGTCCCAAATCTCCGGGAGCAAATCTATCAGGAATTTTTCCTGGCCCAATGAAGATGTGAGGCACTCAGAGACTTTTCCAACGACTGGTTGGACCATCAACCTGAAAGTATTTCAAATTCAATGGACAACAACAAGTAGGATGGACCAGACCTGTGGGAATGTGAGCAGTGCCACTCATGACTGATTGAAGTGACAAAAAGGACAAAGATTGGTTATGAACTATTTTCTATCCCATATTGGCTAATTACATGGCAGCAAGTAGAGAAAATTGTCTCTGTGTTACAGAAAGAAGCCAGAAGTGCAAACCTGACCCCTGGAAATTGCTGCTGATGTGGTGTCTGGGGGCTCTTATCGACCAGATAAAAACCCTCCCTCACTCCCTGATCCATCCAATCCCAAAGACAGGGAATTGTCTGATATTTGGAGAGGAAATAAGTTCATTACCCAATGAGTTGGTCCTTGTTTTGCTCCACAAGGGTGGGAGGAACATTGGAGACAATCACTTGCATGTCCAACTGATTGACCACAGAGACCTGGAAAGAAAAGAGGGGAATTCAGTTGGCACTGCCAGGCACAGTCCCCATCCAACAGCAATGGAAAAATTCCTTTCCTGCCTCTATACCATGCCCTGATATCAAGACTTCTCCTTTTAATTCCAGAGAGCTGGGAAATCTTGCAGTCAAAGCTTATAGGCATCAAAGATTTAACTGGAATTGTATTTCCAGGTCTGCATCAGAATTACGGATTTTTAAGGTGGAGAGAGAAAAAGCTGCTCTTAGTTTAGACTTGACTTAGAGAATCCCAGATCTCCCACGGGCTGTATTCCAAATTACTTCTGAGCATTTGGGTGGTTTGGATGCCAGGAAAATCCTCTCTTGGAGCCATACAATGTGCATCATGGGAAATGGAAATTCAGGACTAATTCCACAAAATCAATGCCACTTTGTTAGAAAATCAGGAAGGAAATGTTCATTTACATTGAAGCAATCAATGAGAGATTTTATTTTAATCTCCAATTGTTTTAGCTTCTCCTTCTATCATAAAACTGCACATTTTATAATGAGCTTTTTCCTAAAAAAAAAAAAAAAAAAAGAAAACCAAAGCAAGAAAATTGTTTCTAATCCACTCAATACTTGTGTGCTTTGTTGGAATAAAATTAAATTTCATTTTTCCACCGAGGTATGGAGTGACCTCAGAGAAAATATCTGGCAATTATTATTTTCTACTATGAACCCAACCACTCTAATCCTGTAGAGGATTCTGGAGGAAAATTTGGAAAACTAGGCCAGTGTTAAAGCTGATAAATTTAAAAATCAAGGGTTAGTTGATTCTAAAAGAAATAAACAAGCCCTGATCTTCCAAAAAGGAGTCCTGGAAGCACAGCAGCAGAAAAGCCTGAATGTGCTTCCACATCAAACACTGATTCACCAGCTTTGAAGTTTAATTCAACTTTAAATATTCAAATGTTCTTGAAATGTCATCAGATGCCCTGATCAGCACGTACAGGCTTCTGTGTAAGAAACACAGAATTATAATGAGCTCCAAATACATTTTAGACTAAAATCATGCAACGGAACTGGAAAGCAATGATTAATTTAATAGAATTAATTACATTAGCCAATTCAAGCAATGACTGTGCATCCAGGAACTGAAAACAGCATAAAGGCAACACAAAAATCAAAGGTAGTAATTCTTTTAATATGGAGGAAATCACAATTATCATCACTTGTTCATGTACAAAACCAGGGTTAAACACACATTTGTGACAAGCTATAGGAAACCAAGGGTGTTGGACAAAAATCAAGCGACATTTGAGGTTTCCATGGTAACACTAACTTGCTTGTTATCCCTATTTGTAAAGGCAGGCAAAGCAGAAAATTGTTGGCAACCTCTAGCCCACGAGTGATATCCCTTTGATCCCAAGCTCTGCTCATTAGGCACTTGCCAGGTTTGAAATCCAGCAAGGCAGAACCTACAAAGAGTCTTGATTGTGATATGGCACCATTGGATTCTTGGGAGTAGCTGGCACCCGAATGAGGAGGGGCCTTGAAACCCTCTCAAACCCCAATAAACATTTGATTAAAGATGGTATCTATGAAATCATAAAGATGATATCCATGATGTCAAATAATGATAGTGAATATCCACTATCTACACTTTCTCAGCACCTTTAGGTGCTTCCTTGCAGCAAATTCATTTTAAAATGTAATTCTTTTATCTGTTTCATCTCACAGGTGCTGAGAAGGAAAACTCCATCCCATGGAAGAAAACTGTCAACCCACAGGTATCTGATTTGAGCTGTCCTGGTGCCCTGCCCATGGATTGTCCCCACCAGGATGAAGACCAGGGGTTTTGGCAAGTTCTGTTGCTCCCAGAGCTGTGCCAGGCTCTGGGGAAGCATCCTGGTCCCAGTTCTGGAGGACACCTTGCTCTGCTAAGCTTCTTCCCAGCATTGTCCCTCTGGTGGTGACCTGCCTCTTCTGAGACCTCCTCCCAGTGTAGTCCTATCTTCTTCCCCCACATCTTCTTCTTTTGCATGGGAGTAATTAAATTAATTTCTCTGTGCACTTTTTGAGCTAGTTTCAAAAAAAATAACACCTGAGAACCTGAGCCCCTGACTCCATAGCAGGAAAATCCTGTTAAAATCATGGGAAAGAATCTTAGTGCATGGATCACACTTGGTGCATAAAATCAGAGGATCCTAGAACGGCCGGGGGTAAGGAACCTTAAAGCCCATCCAGGGCCACCCCTACCATGGGCAGGGACATCTTCCACTATCCCAGGCTGCTCCAAGCCCTGTCCAACCTGGCCTTGGACACTTTCAGGGATCCAGGGGCAGCCACAGCTTCTCTGGGCACCCTGTGCCCACCCTCCCAGGGAACAATTCCTTCCCAATATCCCACCTAATCCTGCCCTCTGGTAGCAGGAAGCCATTCCCCTTGTCCTGACACTCCATCCCTTGGAAATTGTCTCTCTGTATTTCTTGTCAGCTCCTTCAGGCGCTTCAAGGCCACAGCTGGGTCACCCCAAAGCTTCTCCTCTCCAGGCTGAACAATCCCAGCTCTCCCAGCCTTTCCTCCCAGCAGAGCTGCTCCATCCCTCTGATCATCCTGAAGCCTCCTCTGCACTCATTCCAACATGTCCATGTGCCAGGGTTCTCGGCAGGATGGGGTCGGTCTGGAACTGTATCACCAGCTCCTCTGAGCTTCCAGGCCTTGCTCAAAGCAACTGGGTGCACTGCTCATCACTCAGCCAGACATCATAAAGAATCCTCTATAAATTAATGAGACATCCTTCACTTTCTAATGTTAATGTCGATTCCTTCTGGCTATATTTTAATAGCCTATTAGTGCCTAAATTACCTGAGAATGCCCCATCATTTTGGGAGGTCAAGTATGAGGGTGAAATCATTTATGTTTATTTGGTGAACTCCTGCAGAACTCACCACACCAAGGATTCTGGCTCTCATCTGTATCCTTTGACAGTGTTCCCATTTAGTGGATAATGCACTCCATCCCTTTCACATTATGCTAATATTGAGCCAATCCATCAAGTTTACAGGCTTTAAGGAAACTTAGCTTGAATGGTTTCAGTGGCTGGACTAAGTCAATGCTCTTTGAACAGCACAAAACCATGAGCCTGAGGCCTAAAGATGGTGCCAGTTCTGAAATGCTGCTTTCTCAAGGACTGAAAAGTTCATTCTCAGCCCAAAATTATTCCTTAACATAAGCAACCAAGACAACTTGGACATGACCAGCAGGGACACAGAATCATAGAATCATGGAATGGTTTGGGTTGGAAGGGACCTTAAAGCCCATCCAGTGCCACCCCCTGCCATGGGCAGGGACATCTTCCACTATCCCAGGCTCTTCAAGACCTGTCCAACATGGCCTTGGACACTTCCAGGGATCCAGGGGTAGCCACAGCTTCTCTGGAGACCCTGTGCCAGGGCTCCCCACCCTCCCAGGGAACAATTCCTTCCCAATATTCCATCTATCCCTGTCCTCTGGCAGTGGGAAGCTATTCCCTGTGTCCTGGCACTATAGGCCCTTGTCCAAAGTCTCTCTCCATTTTTCTTCACTGGAAGGCCACAATTGGGTCACCCCAAAGCTTCTCCTCTCCAGGCAGAGCATTCCCAGCTCTCCCAGCCTTTCCTCCCAGCAGAGCTGCTCCATTCCTCTGACCATCCTGCTGCCTCACCTGGACCCACTCCAACAGGGCACAAAATCTTTAGGTTTAAGAAATGTATAGCTTTATTCCAGTGCCTTTAAAAAATTAAGCACAAGCACTTTATAGCATTTCTCTAGGTCTACCTGGAATTAAACTTCCTGCAGTATTTGAATTTCCTCAGGAATTATTCCATAATAATAATCCCTGGCTGATACTTACGAGTACTTCTGCTTTGCTGCTCAGTCCTTTGCCGTAATCGTCAGTGGCAATGACCTGGAACTTGAAATAGGATCTCCTCATGTTTTTGAAGAGCATGGCAGTTTTGATCAGCCCCGTGTAAGCCTCAATCACAAAGCCTTCCTTTCCATCCTTGATGGGGGGAATGATGAGTCTGTATTGCATGGCACTGTAATTCCCAGTGTCCTTATCGTTGGCCTAAATGGGGAAAACAAAACAAGCAGAGGCAAACAAGGTAAATACGCATGGAAGAAATCATTAACCTTGTCCTTTAAATAAAGTTACATCTTGGTCCAGCAAATTTCTGCCACTCTGACATTTAAAACATTAGATCCCAGAGCACAGATATGGCTGCTACTTTAAATGCTTCATTTAGCTTTGCTGCGCTCAGTTTTGCTTTTCCAGCAATTTCTTCCTCCTCTGTTGGCATTAAACTGCTCCAGAAGAGAGAAAAAAAAAATAAAAAGTAGAAAAATACAAGTTGACTTTCAAGTCTGCAAAAGTATCTAAGAACTGCTTAATTCTGAGAAACCTTCACTGCCAAATTCTTATTGAAAAAGAAATATCAAAGAAAAAACCATCTCAGCAACTTGTGCACACTTACAAAAGAATGTCCTTCATCTTAGAGATATTCTGATGGAGCACAGGTATTTTTGGCAATCAAATACCTTTTTATTAAAATAAGGAAGGATTGAGTGGCATTCCTGCAGTGGTGCACAGGGACCTTCTGGGCACCCCAGTTCGGGACACAGAGCTGCCCTGGCAGCATTGCTGAACTGGATCAGGATGCAGAGCTGGCATCAACCAGGCAGCTCCAGGAAATGTTATTCCACCTTCCCTGCTCCTGACAACTCCGTGTAGCCCCATCCTGGCCTCTCCAGCCCCATTCCTTATGCTCCTGTTCAACCTCTATGCAGAGGGAAGTGTTTCCAAGGACCCTGACAGAGCTTTCCATGCTCCTTCCAGCGATTAGTGAGGTAGGAGCTAATTAATGCCTGGGCATTCATTAGTCTTGGGCACGGCCTCAGCATCTGGGACACTTCAGGATCTATCAGCAGGTTTTTATGGAAATATTGGCACTGCTTCTAAAGCCTTTCACTTAAGCTAAAACTGGAATAAAAAACAGCCTTAACTTTGAAAAGGTATACATAAAATCCACAGATAATCCATATTGTGCCACAACTTAAGAATGAAAAACAATAAGGGTTTGTGCCAGCATGAAGAGTTCATAGAATCATGGAATATCCCGAGTTGGATCCACAGGGAACACTGATCCAACCCCTGGCCCTGCACAGACACCCCACCAATCCCACCCTGTGCATCCCTGGCAGCGCTGTCCAATCCCTTCTGGAGCTCTGGCAGCCTCGGGGCCGTGCCCATTCCCTGGGGAGCCTGGGCAGTGCCCAGCACCCTCTGGGGGAAGAACCTTGCCCTGATCTCCAACCTGACCCAGTTCCAGCCATTCCCTGGGGTCCTGCTCCTGCTGACAGAGAGCAAAGCTGTTTATGAGACACCAGAGCTGCTAAAAGAGAATTATCTGTGCAAGGTCATTAAGCCTTCAATAGGGAGCCATTAATCATCACTAATTGTTTCTTCACCAGCACTGAACAAGTTCTATATGGTGGAAATCGTCCCTTCTGTTTTTTTTTTTCATTTTCAGATAATTTTTCAGGGAATACCAGCACGACATGAACGATCCAGATACTCAAAGCTACAACTACAACTTTTCTCAGCCCAGATTCCTAGACAAAACGTCCAGCGCTTGAAGGATAATATCCAGGCTGGTTTAGCTGGAAAAAGCAAACAGATTTTATTCAGTGCTGCCCAAAAGATGAGCTCCTGGAATGACACTGGCTGTCACTCTTCACAGACACACAACTGGTTAAATTCCCATCCTCTCTCAATATTTTGCTTTCTTCTAAAGTAATAAAGCTTCATCTGGCTCGACTACGAAAAGCATAAATATAAAACATGTTAAGTTGCTTTTATTCTCCAGCTGCGTAGGTTTTTTTTAAGGCTTTTAAAACCGAGATTGCTGCCTCCTGGGTGAGCTCAAACCCCTTTATTAGCGATTTTAGGGAAGATGGGAAGGTTGAAAAGCTTTCTGAAATTTACTCTGCTCTGTCAGTCAAAAAAGTAAAGATATCAGAGCATTCCAGCCTTCCAACTGGCATGGGGAAATACAACCCCACAACATCCCAGAGCCAGCAGATGTGAGCTTGACAGGTGGAGAGTCAGGAAAACTGTTGGTTTTCCATATAAATAAATTGCTAAAGGAAGAAATGAATGTGAAAACATGTCATAGAATAATGGAATTTTTATGGCTGGAAAACACCTCCAAGATCACCCAATCCAACCTTGAATCGTCACCTTGCCCATTAAACCACATTGTGCAGTGCCACATCCACTCATTCCTTGAACACTTCCAGGGCTGTGGCTCCACCATTCCCTGGGCAGCCCCCTTCCAATGCTCCACCACTCTTTCATGAAGAAACATTTCCTAATAGCCAACCTGAACTCAAGGAAGCAGCTGTAGAGAAACACTAGGCTGACGTTTGGATGGTGAGAAACAAAGACAAAAATTAAACCAGCACCTCAGCTGTGCCTGGAGTGCCAGGACAAGGGGGAATGGCTTCCCATTAGCAGAGGGCAGGGATAGATGGGATATCAGAAAAGAATTGTTCCCTGGGAGGGTAGTGGGGCCCTGGCACAGGGTGTCCAGAGAAGCTGTGGCTGCCCTTGGATCCCTGGCAGTGTCCAAGGCCAGGTTGGACAGGGCTTGGAGAGTGCGGGATAGTGGAAGATGTCCCTGCCCATGGCAGGGGGTGGAAGAGCTTTAAGGTCTCTTCCAACCCAAACCATCCTGGGATTCCAGGGTAAGTTCAGTTCATACAATAAAGCTTAGGATAAAAGTCCTGCCTGGCCAAACCCTCTGGTTTATCCACACTCAGCTTTGCACGTTGGTAATGGAGCTGGGGGAGGAAAGAAAAACAGAATTCCTGTAACCCCACATGGCACATGAGGGGCCCAGCAGCAGTCACAGGAGCAATGTGTGATCCAACTCCTTTGGGGTCATCCGTGAGTGAGCCAAGTTTCCCACTGAGTGCCCAGTGAAGTCCAAAGGCTCCCCAGAGATGCCCTTGAGAGGAGCATGACGCCCTTCCAATAAAAAGCCAATTTCTTTGTTAAAATAGATTTATGAGGTTGGTTCAGCTAGGTCAGAAGCCCATCATATTTTTAATATTGGCAAATTCTCTCTCAATAAAAGCTAGGGCTTTTAATAGTCGCTGCTTTCAATAACACCAGAAATCAATTTCACCTTCAGCATTTCATGCCTGGAGACGTGTGTGACTGAAAACAAACAAAATTTGGATCCAAATTAAGGTGTTGATGCTGCAGGCACAGGCATTATGTGCAGTCAGGCCTTCTGCACAAAGCTCAGGGCACTGGAGCTCAGCACTAATGAGATGTTTAAGTCTTGCAGCTGAGTTTAAGTCATTAAACTCCAGTGAAAGAGGCCTTTTGACATTTGAAGCTCACAGCTTGTAAAGTCCTGCAGAGTTCAGGTGCCTCGAGCTGGTGGACAGGCTCTGAGTTAATTGCCACCAGATCTGAGAGCTCAGTGCCACACCAGAGCCATCAGCAACCTCACCATCATCACAGTTCAGGCTCTTCCTGCATCCACCCAGAAATGAGCAAACAGGTGCCAAACAGCCTGAAAAAATGATCAGATTCCAGCTTCAAATATTTGAACTTTTCTGTTTGCATTCCCCCCTTTCTCTGCTCATTGGATGAAACCTAAGGACACTCGGCTTGGCTGGACCAGCAGAGAGAGCTTGTGAGCTGCTCCCAGGAACATCCCAAACTTCTCTAATACAGAGGAAGGATGTTTGCTATTCCTGTAATTTGTCCTGAAGGTAAATATTTTCGACACTTCATTAGGAAAAGATCTATGACATCTCAAGAGTTGCATTATGACTGTCAAAGAAGAGAAAGAGCTGCACTTAATCTTAATATTCCAGCAGCATATCTGCCTTTGTTCTGTGCAAGAAATACAGATGTCTCCTAAATCCTGTTGTGATTGAGGGCTGATAAATATGGATGATCTCAGGAATTACCAGGTCGAATTCCAGCCTCCTGTGATTGAGTGTAGGTGTGCCCACACAAAGTGAGTTGGGTCAGCATTGTTGCCTCTGCCTCCAGCCCTTTCTCATCCCCTTCCATGGAGGAGGACGAGGCACAAATCCTGAGATGTTCCCTAATCCCAGCACAAAAGCACTGAGGCTATTTTAACTCAGAGGTCGGTGAGGCCCTGGTACAGGGTGCCCAGAGAAGCTGTGGCTGCCCCTGGATCCCTGGAAGTGTCCAAGGCCAGGCTGAAAGGGGCTTGGAGCACTCTGGGATAGTGGAAGGTGTCCCTGCCATGGCAAGGGGTGGGAATGGATGGGCTTTCAAGTCCCTTCCAACCCAAACCATTCCATCTCTCAGTGATCAACTCGTTCTTTTTCTCTCCTTCGTAAGAAGGCCCAACAAATGATACCTTTAAAGCATAAATTAATTAATCTCTGGCTCCATGTGACTGCACAAGTAGGCAGGACACCCAGGGAGGCTGGTAAACCCCACTTGGTGTGACAGCAGCACCCTGACCCTGTCACCAAAAATCACCAGTGGCATATTTGGGATGAGCATAAAAATCATCAGTGACTGTAACTCCTGAAGCTGTAGCATAATCATTGATGAGCTCAGTTTTTAGCATTATCAGTCTGAGCTAAATCCAGATCTGCTGCCCAGAGTGAAATGCGGTTGCCAATTTGAAATGTTTTCCACCTCCCTCACAGGGTCACCCTTAACCACAAGCCTGAGGCTGCTAACAGAGCATGGAAAATGGCAGGATTGGGATTAGGCTGCTGAAGGGGTTTTTCCCTCTTCCTAGCAGATGGCAGCTTCAATGTTCCCAATTAGTGCCTGGCACATAAAGCAGCTTTTAGAACCAGACCATCTTTGCCGGTAGGAATTTCCAGATTGTTGCATATTTCCAGTCCTGATGGCACAGCTGCCACTGGTCTGCTTTAGGGGAGGTTTCACTGGGTGTTCTACAGACACTTAAGCCTGGAAATCTGGGGTGGCCATTGCAATTTTCCTTTATTTCCTGTATTTCTTCACTTCCATGCTCTTTTATACTCGTCTGGCTCAAGCCC